CAGTAGGACCCTGTTGTTTATGTTTTAGACATAGTAGTGTGTACATGTTAATCCCAAGCTCCTAATTTATCCCTCCCCCTCCCCCTTTCCCCTTTGGTAACCGAAAGTTTGTTTTCTATGTCTGTGGGTCTGTTTCTGCTTCATAAATAAGCTCATTTCTGTCATATTTTATTTTATTTTTTGGCCGCACTGCACGGCATGCGGGATGTTAGTTCCCACACCAGGGATCGAACCCATGCCCCCTGCAGTGGAAGCACCAAGTCTCAACCACTGGACCGCCAGGGGAGTCTCTCTGCCGTATTTTAGATTCCACGTATAAGTGATATCATATGATATTTGTCTTTCTCTGTCTGGCATACTTCACTCAGTAGGACAATCTCTAGGTCCATCCACGTTGCTGCAAATGGCATTATTTCATTCATTTTATGGCTAATATTCCATTGCATATACGTGCACCTTCTTTATCCATTCCTCTGTCAATGGACACTTAGGTTGTTTCCATGTCTTGGCTGTTGTGAATAGTGCTGCTATGAACATTGCATGTATCTTTTTTTTTTTTAACATCTTTACTGGAGTATAATTGCTTTACAATGGTGTGTTAGTTTCTTCTGTATAACAAAGTGAATCAGCTATACAGAGCATGTATCTTTTTGAATTATGGTTTTGTCTGGATATGTGCCCAGGAGTGGGATTGCAGGATCATATGGTAGCTGTATTTTCAGTTTTTGAGGAACCTCCATACTGTTTCCCATAGTGGCTGCACCAATTTACATTCCCACAGCAAGAGCTCTTTTTATGTTTACTTTCTCTAAATAAATTCGCAGTGATAAAAATGTCTCATAAAGCCACCGACCTTGGATTGATTTATTTGACATCCATCAGGAAGTCTGTTCCCATGTCCATGAAACTCAGAGAAGCCCTCTGTGTTCATAACATGGGAATTTGGGGCAGATAAACAGGAGGGAGGAGTTTCAAAGCCTCAAAAACTTTCCTTTTTATGATATGACACTGTATCCCATAAAAATATATTACTGGCACATCCCCACGGTTCTCTTCATTATCTTCTACACATCGCTCAAGGTGTCATACCGTATGAGATACTGGTGGTAATAGCTGTTATGATTCACTGATTTAATATTGTCTTTGGGACGACACCTATGAAGAGTCAGTCCTCAAGTCCAGTATCGCATTGTTTTTGTGGGAAAACCAAGTGTCAAATCATCTGGCCCTGAGGTCAGATGCAGGAGTAGAAAACAGGCATTGGGAGACCTGGGTTAAAGAAAGGCCAGGGGAGGGAGACACGAACCACTTAGCTACAAACCACTACGAACCCAGCTACGAAACACTTAGACACGCTCCTCAGTTTGAAACCAAAGGAATTGTTTCACTGGTCTCCATACGCTGTTGCAGGAACAACACACATAGTTTGGCAGAGACCAAATCCATTAAAAAAAAGAAAAAGAAGAAGAATGTACTGCTCTTAAACCTGAGACAGTAACAAAAGCAGTGATCTTTACTGGTTCATTACGCGTGTATCATCATTGCACGGCAGCCCCACATCCGAGCAGGAAATAGCCAAACACAGAAAGACCCAGAAGAGAGACCCGATATTGTCATTTTCACTGTCCACTGCAATGTGGGAACTTTTTCAGGTGTCACTCAGCCTGGAAGTTACTATCTTTCTACCCAAATCCAGATGATCTATAGACCCCTTCCCAGTGCCCCAGAGAGGAGAGACCATTCCCGGGCAGGAAGCAGCTGCCCCAGGCATGTTACCGAGAGTCTACTGCAGGTGCCCGAGCTTCCTTAGCTGCCGGTCTTACTGGAACCTAGAGCAGGAAATTAGGAAGAGCAGCTGTTCTGGCTATAATAATCCACTAGGTGAAGGTTTTTGCTTAAAATCAAAGTTCTGAGTTATCGCGGTGGGAGCCACCGGGGAACCTCTGAGGTTAGACAGAAACAAAGTGCCACGTTGGTGGGACTCTTACAGGCACAGACGTCACGGGGATGGGATCGAGGGCTACCAAGGACAAGAAGCCAGAGACGGAAAAGGACGCGGATGCAGACGTCGCCCTGGGTTACATCGCACTGAGGAATGGACCAGCTCCCTATCGAGGAGGTGTGAATTCATGGCACAGGTGCTCACATGTTATTTGTGATTAGGGGCTTGTTTCTAGGCTTGGAGTGTCTGTGTATCTATCAGCTCAAACGTCACTTCCAGCCAAGTCTCATTGATTGGAAGGGGCTGCCTGGAGCTCTGCGTTGATAAGGTATCCAAGTCTGGGGCTTGACTCAGAAGCTGACCTTGACGGGCAGGGGATGGAAGCGGGCCCTGGGTGCAGGGTTGGGGGAGGTGAGCAGTCTTGGTGACAAATCCTAGGCCTTAGCTGGTGGGTAAATCATATGTGGTTCCTGACCTGTATGTACAGTCATTCTCAGTGCATCTTTTTGCTCTCATGATAAAGTTCTAAGTCCAAGGAATCCTTTAAGATTTGTTTAAGATCGTTACCTGAGATAAGTACATCTTTGAAAACAATTACTGTCAAAATGCTGGGGCCAAGCAAGTGCACAAATGACAGTCCTCACAGCCTATGCCAAACAAGACCAGCTTCTGTGTGAGCCACGGGGTTGGGCGGCGGGGTGGAGGTCTCTGTATGCCTCATGCTCAGTCCCACCAGGGTTAAGAGGCCCATGCTATCACGCAGAGCTGGGATTTAGAGCCGTCTGTGAAATTCCATCAAAAGAAACCGAATAAATCCCTTCCTGGAAGGCTAAGTCAAGGCTGATGTGAATCTTGCATTCACAGCTGCACACACTCAAGATGGGCAACAGATCAAGGGCTGTGCACAAAAGCCCGGCGTCACTGGAGAGAAGCAACGAGGCAACAGATGTTCTGGACTCTGTTCAACCTGGCTGCCTCGCTGTGCGTTTGTCCTCTTCTCACTGGTGGCCACTTTTGATATCGAATCAGGTTTCTGATCTTCATCTTTATCACCTGAGTGGAGTAAGACCCAGTTCAGGAACCTGAGCCCTCATTCTGTGTCACTGGCCCTGAGTGGCACTAAGTACAAAACCACGTTCCCAGTCCTTGAAATCGGGGTGTCAACCGCGTGCCGGGCACCGTGCAGAGCGTGTTCCTCATGCCCTTGCATTTAGAAGTCACGACATAACAAGAATCATGCTAAGACAGAGTCTTTTTTTTTCAGAAAAAAAAAATTGGGATTTTTATTGTAATTGCATGGGAATTACTTTTATCAATCTGATAGATTTGACATCTTTATGATATTGAATCTTCCAATTGATAAACATGATATATCTTTCCATTTATTTAGATCTTGTTTCAATAGTTTTATCGTTTTTCTCCGTGTGCTGAACATCTTTTTTTTTTATTGAAGTATAGTTGATTTACAATGTTGTGCCAGCATATCCCTTTTTAAGATCTATTCCTACATACTTTGTATCTGTTGATGACACTGTAAGTAGTATCCTGTTTTATTGCATTTTCTGTCTGTTTCTCATATATAAAAATAAAATTGATTTTCATACCTGGATTTTGTATCCTGTTGACTACCAAATTCTCTTATACTTTGAGGTGTTCTACATGGACAAGCATATTATTAGCAAATAATGATAGCTTTGCTTCTTCCATTTCAATCCTTACACATTTTATACTTTTTTTCCCCCTTACTGCCATGGTTAAGACCACCAGTACAAAGCCGAATGGAAAAATCATGATTTGGGGAATCTGTGTCTTGTTCCTGATCTTAAAGAGAAATGCTTTCAATGTTTTATCATTCAGTATTGCTATTGTTATAGGCTTTTTTTGTTTTTTTTGTAGGTTGTCAGATTAGGGAAGTTCTCTTTTATTCCTAACTTAACCTAAAAGGGTTTTCACTTCCTGGGTTTTGTACGTAACTAGGAAAACCTTATGCTGGGAAGTTAAGAAACATAAAAGACATAGAGCCTTGATGTGTTCCAGGCACGGTGCCCAGCACTTTACAAATGTTTCTTTACGACAGCCTGATAAAGCAAATGCTCAGATTCATGATGAAGAGGCACAGAGGTCAAGGAACTGGCCAAGGCCACTCACAGCTAGCAGGTGGCAGGAGTGGGATAGGAATTCAGGTGGTCTTAGGAAGTGGGCACTCTAACACTGCCACAGGGCAGAGGAGGCACGGAGACCCAGGGAGATGAACTCAAGCCCAGGGTCGCAGAGTTGGACCTGACTCAGAGGCAGGAGTGGAACCCTTCTTGACCTCAAAGACTGAGCTCTCAGCTGCTCTCCTGTACTTGCCGAGGGTTGGCCAGAAAAAGGCTTTTTCCTTTATTAACCTTTACTATATGAGGCTGTACTATATTGCCTTAAGAAATCCAGTTACTGCATCGTTGATACATATTTTCAGGCCAAGTCTCACCTGGGAATAAAGTCTGAATTCTCAGATTTTGCTTCTAAAATCATCCGTGCTCTCTCCTGTTTCAGAGGAGAACGTGTGGGGTCACGCCCACATCCACATCACCAGACGGAGACAGACAGGTTTTCTAAGAGCCCTCTGACTACGTGCCCTGGATGGTCTGATTTAAAGGCATGAGCCACACAGCGGGTTCTAAAGCCCTGGGGCTGGTTTCTAGGTTGGTGGATGAAGTGCAGCACAGGCTGCTGCTTTAACACCACCCACTCACCACGCCTCACAAGGATGGGGGAGCGTGTGTGAATGTCACAGCATAGACGGGAATCTGGATGCATTCCAAAGCCAAATGCAAATGCTCTTGGAGTGCCCTCGGCTTCATTCCCTTCACACCTCTCCTTGCCGGTACTAAGGGACGAAGGGAGTAATAGCAGCAAGTACATTTATTCACACACTCATTTTTCTGCAAAAACTCCAATGCCATTGCTTCTCAAGGACAGGTCGAGAACATGACGTTTCCTACGGAAGCAAACTCAGAAAGCTTTCAAACCAGAAAACAATGTGCAAGGAGGAGGATAGATTTAAGAAAAATACCTTAATGTGAAAGCCAGTCTGAAGCCTGGTTTTGTTGATAAAATCATACACTGGTATTCCCCAACCAATTTCACCAACATACTCAGGTTTATATTTGGCCGGCAAGCTTCTCTTTGAGGCAGGCCTCTGTAAATATCTGAGATCTCCCGTTTTTTCTAATGCAGGACGCTTTTCTCCTATATAGGAAGTATGCTGAGCAACTTTAGGGAGATGGTCCTTTACATAATCTGGGCCTTAAAACAGAAAGAAAAAAACACTTTGAAAAAACCTCCACACTTTATTCTAAGATGCTTTATTCTAAATGGTGGAAATAATAACAACTAATGCTTGTATGTCATTGACTATATCCTAGGTGCTCTCATAAGCCTTTTAGATATGTTAATTCAATTACTCCTTGTATTAACCAAGTGAAGTTGGGCGTATTATTTCCCCCAGTTTATACGTGGGGAAAACAAGGCCCAGAAGGATTGGTTACTTGTCCAGAGTCACAGCTAATGAGCCTACAGGCTGTCTCACGGTTTTCTTTATAACCAACTTAATACAGACACGTTCTTTTTTAAAATTTATTTTATTGAAGTATAGTTGATTTACAATGTTGTGTTAATTTCTGCAGTACAGCAAAATGATTCACTTATACATACACATATATATATATATATATATATATATATATATACACATTCTTTTTCAGATTCTTTTCCATGATGGTTTATCACAGGATATTGAATATAGTTCCCTGTGCTCTACAGTAGGACCTTGTTGTTTATCCATTCTCTATATAATAGTTTGCATCTGCTAATCCCAAACTCCCAATCCATCCCCCCAAACCTCCTTGCCCTTGGCAACCACAAGTCTGTTCTCTATGTCTGTGAGTCTGTTTCTGTTTTGTAAATAAGTTTATCATTTGTATCATATTTTAGATTCCACATATAAGTGATATCATGTGGTATTTGTCTTTCTCTGTCTGACTTACTTCACTTCGTATGATAATCTCTAAGTTCATCCATGTTGCTGCAAATGGCATTATTTTGTTCTTTTTTATGGCTGAGTACTATTCCATTGTATATATGTACCACATCTTCTTTATGCATTCATCTGTCAATGGACATTTAGGTTGTTTCCATGTCTTGGCTGTCAAATAGGAGACACAGTCTTTACACTAAAACTCCTCACTAATACCACATATGCAGGATGTTGGTCTTTAGACATCGAGATGTTTTATCTAGAGAGATAAAATCCTGAAATGAGGATTAGAAAATTCCCCAAATGTATTAGAAGCCATGGGAAGATGGAGAGAATTGTCAGATGAGGACAGCTCATAATGGATGACGCCCAAAGGCAGGGGCATTTAATAAACATCGGTATTTTAAATGTAAGACAATGAACAAAGGAATCAATGAATTGTGGAAGTGGGTGAAGCAAAAATAACAGGAGGTGTGGGAAAAGATGGCTTCCATACACTTGGTGTTGAGAGCTGATGACGTGAACATGTGAAGAGAAGCCAGAATGGTCCTGATTAGAACAGACAGTGATCTGCTGGCCCAGGAAGAGTTTCGGAAGTCCCGGAACCAAAGTGGCTGCAGGATTGTCTGGGCAGGTTGGGGAACACAAAGAAGAAATGTCACTCCTCTTACCCAAGGTGAACCCCAGACCTTGGAGGCAGAGGCTGTGCTGTGGTCACGGTGTCACCTGGCCCTTCCTGACCCCGTGGCCCCTCTCATTTTGTCTTGGGTCGTGGAGCTCAGGGTTTGCAGGGAGCACAGGTGGGCGGGGGGTTGACCACATGCTCCGATGCAGTGGTCGGTGTGGTTACAAGTCTGTGCCTGGAAACATCATCCAAGCTTTCCAAGGGAGCTGAAAATGTGAGAAATTGCTCCCCAGACACAGGCTTGGGGCAGATGTTGCCCCAGCTTCCCAGTCACCGTGGCTCCCATGACGCCTGCATGTTCACTGTGCCTCATTTCCCGTGACGGACCCGTCGTGGCCCCAGGTTCTCACTCAGGTAAAGTATAGGATGGCCCAAGCATGAAAAACTGTTTTCTCTCCCAATGTGACGGGTGTTGAGCGCTCACCTACAAAACTCCTGCCATAAGGAAAATTTTGCAATCTCCTCCAAACAGCATGAAATTACAACTGTATTAGTCTTGCTGGAAGTTCAGGGTATTTTGAGGCTGGTGTTTTCCCAAATGTTCCCCTAATATTGCTCCTGTGAGTGACCATGACAAAGCCTAGGCGTGAACTGGGGGTTCTCTATTGTCAAATACACTTGAGAACACTATCCGTTTGCTGTTGAGAGAGTCCCAGCACATGAAAGTGTGTTAAAAGTTCTGAGAAATCCGGGCTTCCCTGGTGGCTCAGTGGTTAAGAATCTGCCTGCCAATGCAGGGGACACGGGTTCGAGCCCTGGTCCGGGAAGATCCCACATGCTGCGGAGCAACTAAGCCCATGCACCATAGCTACTGAGCCTGCGCTCTAGAGCCCATGAGCCACAACTACTGAGCCCATGAGCCACAACTACTGAGCCTGTGTACCACAACTACTGAGCCCGTGCACCACAACTACTGAGTCCACATGCCACAACTACTGAGCCCGCGAGCCACAACTACTGAGCCCATGTGTCACAACTACTGAAGCCCGCACGCCTCGAGCCCGTGCTCCAAAACAAAGAGAAGCCACCACAATGAGAAGCCCACGCACCGCAACGAAGAGTAGCCTCCGCTCAGCCACAACTAGAGAAAGCCCATGCACGGCAGTGAAGACCTAACACAGCCAAAAATAAATAATAAATTTATTTAAAAAAAAAAAAAAGTTCTGAGAAATCCTGCGGTAAATTAACCTGTTTGCAATTATGTAATCCAGCGTTTCCCAAACTTATCTAAACATGGATCCTTTTCCTCGTTGGGTCACCTGTATGCATCCTGCAGACACCAGCAGATTTGGGAAAATATTGATCCTCCACGTAATTTTCGGTTGTTGCTAAAATTCTGTCGTCACCTCACACTATTGCAAAAGTGAGAGCAGACGTATATCTGTAGTTATTCCTTGTCACTCTGCAGACCACATTTTTTAAAAGAGCAATTACTTGACAGCTGAGTCTAAACACTTCGTTTTAGACAGAATCGTAGAAAGTGAACGTGCTCTACAAGCCAAGGGTGGGGAGAGGAGCTCCCCAAGAATCTAGCTTCCCTGTGGCATTTCAGTTGAGTCACTGGACTTTCCTGAAACCCCATGTACTCCTGTGTGCTTTAGAAATAGCGTGATGCAGCGTGAATGGCACAGGAAGTTCTGGGACATCCCTCCCTGGCTGCATAGCTGACGCAGGCACCTGCCTATACAGCAGAGGCAGCTGAGAGTCACTGTCTGCAGTGGGCCAGGTTCACAGCCGTCCCCTGGAGCTGGCCTGATGCTCACCTAACCAAAAAATCCACTCTCACCACGCAGGCAGCAATGCAGACGTGGGGTTTCCCTGATGGGCAGTTCCACGGGTGTCTGGCTTTAAATGACCCATGTTTCCCTCCCCTAACCCTCATCCTCCAGAGCTGAGACTCTCTGCTGGATCCGATTCCCTGCTTCAAGGTCAAACTTCCAACTCCTGTCCAATCCACGGTCGCTTTGTTTTTCCTTTAACGGCTATCATCTCTGTTCGACGACTGTTGCTACGTCCCTTAGGGTGTTCCTAGCTGTTTTTCATCTTATGGCACGTTTTCTTGGGTCGTTCATTGTTTTCCCCAAAACCCCGGCCCCCATTTGCCAGCCATGAAGTTGACAGCTCCTGGGTTAATAAAACCCTCATGTGCCCATCTGCTTTGGGGTTCTTGTCAACACCTGAAGACCAGCTCCAAGGGGACAACCCGCAGCTGTAATCCTGAAACAGAGCTGCCCAGCACTGGTCTACTGCCAGGGGAGCCACGTCACGATGGGGGAAAGAGAGGTGCTTCCATTTACATCTGTGCCAGGCTTCATGGGTCCTCATTTCTGCATCTTCCTGCCCTGGAGAAACTGTGATCTCACGGCCAGCGGGTAGATCCTGTCTCCCCTGTACGTGCCCAGCATGGCTTGTTCATCAGTGTCTGAAATTCTCAAGTTATGGTCGAAGATGTGGTTTTGAAGCTAAACTACCGTAGGGTCAAATCCTGGCTTTCTCTTGTGCTTTGTGACCCAGGGAACATCATTCGGCCTCTGAGTTTAGGCTTCTCATCTCTAAAATGAAAAAAGACACACGCACCCCAGTGTTCATAGCAGCACTGTTCACAACTGCCAGGACATGGAAGCCACCTAAATGCCCATCGACAGAGGAATGGATAAAGAAGACGTATTATATACATACAATGGAATGTTAGCCATAAGAAAAACAAAATAATGACATTTGCTGCAACATGGATGGACCTAGAGATTATCATACTAAGTGAAGTCAGACAGAGAAAGACAAATATCATATGATATCACTTATATGTGGAATCTAAAATATGATACACATGAACTTATTTACAAAACAGAAATAGACTCACAGACATAGAAAACAAACTTATGGTTACCAAATGGGAAAGGGGGGGGATAAATTAAGAGTATAGGATTAACAGATACACACCACTATATATAAATAGATAACCAAAAATGACCTACTGTAGAGCACAGGGAACTACAGTCAATATTTTGTAATAACCTATAATGGAAAATAATCTGAAAAAGAATATATACATATGTGTGTGTGTATGTATAACTGAATCACTTTGCTGTACACCTGAAAGAAACACAACACTGTAAATTACCTATACTTCAATTTTTTTTTTTCTTTTTTCTTTCTTTATTTTTTTTTTGCAGTACACGGGCCTCCCACTGCCGTGGCCTCTCCCGTTGCGGAGCACAGGCCCCAGACGCGCAGGCCCAGCGGCCATGGCTCAGGAGCCCAGCCGCTCCGCGGCACGCGGGATCCTCCTGGACCAGGGCACGAACCCGCGTCCCCTGCATCGGCAGGCGGACTCCCAACCACTGCGCCACCAGGGAAGCCCTCAATTTTTTTAAATGGTTAAAAAAAAAAAAAAGAATAGTGATGCCTGTCTGGTAGCCTTGCTGGAAGGACAGGAAATAATTTTATTGAAAGAAGTGCTTATCTGAGGATCCGGCACATAAGATACAGCAATATTATTATTCGTGTCTCTTCCTCTTTCTTGTCTGTTCGCTTCTTGTTTTAATTTGATACTTTGTCTTACCTGTTACATTTTTTTAAATATAT